GGGCCAGCGCCGCCTGCCGAGGTGGGAGCAGGTGTTAGTGTGACTGCGGGGTCCCATCCTGCGTATATCTTGGTTCTCCACCCCAATGAACCAGGGTCCATATCCTCCCCCAAAGGAAGAAGGGTCCTGGTGCCATCCCCCTTCACCTCCCCCCATCATCCCTGCAGGCTTTTTAATTTTAAAATGAATGTTGCAGGGAATTACTGAGCATAAGTTCATTTCCACCAGAGCAGCCCCGTAGCAACTAGTCTTGGGAGATTGGTGAGTAGCCTCAGGGCCCTGGGGAGCTCCTCCTTGTCCCCAGGCTCTGGCAGTGCATCTCCCAGCACATAAGCCTGGAGGAACAGGGTCCAGCTCTTACCTGGCTGAGCCTGTCCTGGTCCCAGAGGGAGCCGATGATGAATGCCACGAGCCGCCCTTCCTCAAACCAGCCGAGGGAGAGCTCCGGGCAGAGGTTCAGAAAGTGGCGGATCTCGTCCAGGTGGAGGGGACAGTCCCCAGAGACAGATATAAAGGCTGGAGGGGGACGGCGGTGAGCACAGCAAGGGGGACCCAGACAACCCTCCCAGCACTGATGTAGGTGGGGGAAAGTGGGATGTGGTGGGGAGAGATGGCATGTGTCCTGCTGCCTGCTTGGTCTAAAGGAGCTCTAAGGGACAGGATGGCTCCAGGGAGCAGCTCTGCTCCTCCAGAGGCAGCCCCCCCCACCCCAGCCCCAGGGCCGGCTGCCGGCTCTCATTGCCGATTCCAGGGCGACAGCCGTGGGTGCTGAGGTGAACCCTCCCTCCTGGCATCTCCCCAGGAGAAGAGGGAGAAATGGGCCGGGTGAGTCTGAGTGAGGGGAGCTGGGGGTGTCTGGGATGGAAGGGAGGGAGGAGGTTGTTGGGGGTGCATCTCCAAGTGCCCCTGTGCAATAGGAGGCTGAGCATGGCGTTCTTCCTCCCACCTTCCCCCTCTTCTCTCCACTTGCTTCTGGCAGGGCTGTTTTGGGAGAGCTGCTCCCCACTCGCCTGGTCCTGCTCCAGGATCACCTCCCACCATCCCCGCCCCAGGCAGCTGGGTGAGTTGGGGGCCATGGTTCTCCACCTCCTTAATCACAGCCTCCTTCACCTTGTTAGAGAGCCCATGGTGGCCTGGCCACAAGTCACGGTTGCTGGATCCCTCCCTCATCACCCACAAGGGCATGCATGGGGGTTTTGCCACCACGGTGTGCCCCCAAGGAGCATGAGGGACTGGTGGAGGGAAGGGACGGGGCATCTCCAGCCGATGCCACCAGGCAGGACCTCCCTGGGGCAGCCCCTTACCTTCCCGCTCGATCTCAAACACGCTGATGGCATCCTCGGGGCTGAGGCAGCGAAACTCGCTGGCGGGCAGCGTGTGGCGACGCTGGCCTCCGGGCGAGCTTCGGGGGGACCTCAGGTGAACGGGCTTCAGGAAAGGCAACGCGCTGAGTGCTGACATCCTCCTCCTCCTCCTGCCCTGCTTCCCACCGCTCCCGCTATTCAGGACAGCCTCTGCCAGCTCCCGGCCCTGGCAGCAGCACGGCACCCTTTATTTCAGCCAATCTCCTCCAGCACTCTTAGTCGCCGAAAATACCTGTTGGTCACGCACAGGATTAGGCTGCTTGCCACCCTTTTCCTATACATATGTGTGTATATATAGAGAGAGCATGCAAATACCCGCCCACAGTGACCCCATTGCCGGTCTGCCGTCACTGAGCTGGGGCCAGTGCTTGTAGCAAACCCACGGCCCAGGGACCAGGGGGACAAAAGCCCGGTGACCAGCTAGGGTGTCCGAGTGGTGGGACAGGGGCTGTTAGAGCTGGAGCAGGGGGAGCAGGCAGGGAGCTGAGAATTCTGCCCAATATCTCCCAACCCATGGCAAAGCCAGGCAATGGGACGGGCAGGAGAGCCCTGGGGCAAGTCCAGCCGCTGCCCTGGGGACACGCAGGGTGGGATGTGCCTGCAGGAAGCCAAGAGGCTACAAAATAAGCCTCTCTGGGTGAATGCTCCCTGCAACCTGCTCACATTTGTGGTGCTGCGTGGCTGTATGCAAGCGAGAGGTCAGTGCCGGAACACCCATGCACACACTGCGGTGCCCCGGCACAGACCCGTCAGGCAGGAGCTACCTCCCAGAGACAGCCGGAGCTGCTGGGATTTAGTCCCTTTTCCGGCTCACTCAGTGGGCAAGTGACACAGCTTAGCCCCTGTTGGGCTCTTAGGTCACGTCCACGCTCACGGACAGAGCTGAGATGGGTCTGTGGCAGGG